GTGTAATGATACACACTGTCATTGAATAAAACATAATATATAAACTTTAAAAATGTTTAGAGTATGGTAACAACTTAACATTAAAATTATATTCCACTTATACTTGTGCATTATATGTAACAATATGTCTCTGCTCGATTGATAATTTCCGGTAGAAATTCTTCTCGAGAAACTTCAGCGATACTAGTCCTTTCTTAAATAAAACTAGTTTATTCTTTCTCAATACAACTTTGCCTGAAGAGTTGCCTGAAAATGTGTCACAGTTTGGGAAAGTGTTTTCGGAAAGGATGGATGATATTCACCATCAAGTGTGTTCAAACTTGAAAACGTCTGTTGATTCGATGAAGTTATCTTATGATAAGAAATCTACTGAAGTCAGCTTTGTACCAGGAGACAAGGTGTTGTTGTATATCCAAGGAAGACCAAAGGGAAGTCTCCTAAGTTGTCTTCTCCATGGGAAAGCCCATATGACATAGTGGATCGTCTCTCAGACGTGACTTTCTGGATAAAATTTGGTCGGCGAGGTGAGCCAAAGGTGGTGCATGCCAACAGGCTTTGGCGTTATCACGGTCCAGGACATTTCAGTTGGGATGAAGTGAACAACGGAACAAATTACTGTGCTGAAGACGTGTCACCTGAAAAAGCCACTGTCGAAGAAGGAACTCTACTCGGTTTTGAGAAGGGAAACAGCGAAGCCCTTGATGAAGTTACTACCACTGATGTGACTGTTACAAATGATAGGACGTTTCCTAATGAAGCAGATGAACCCCACATGAAGCAAAAGCCAACGAGACAGAGACCAGTACGGAAGAAGATACGTCCCGTAAAATTAAGAGACTTTGTTGAATTTTGATTTTGTGTTTGTAAATTCTGTACATTTAATTAAGTTATTGTTAATTGTTTATTGGTTTAATGTAAGTGGCTATTGTTCGGGATGAGCAATACTAAGGAATGAGCAGTGTTACGACAGCGGAGGTCACGTGACGCTAGTAACACGTCACGCGCTTCTAGAACGTTCATGAAGCATCGGGAGGTTACTAGATTTCGGTATTCTCGTACATATAAGACGGTCAAGACGTGATGGCAACAATGTGTAACTGAACTGCAGACAGAGAGAGACGTATTGTTGAGCACGTGAGACGTTCATTGTGAATTATAGCGTTTGTTATAGCGTGACGTTGGAAATTAAGTGTATTGCAAAGTTGTATTTTGAAAGAATAAACCAGTTTTATTTAAGAAAGGACTTGTATCGCTAAAGTTTCTTCAGAAAGAAATTATACGGAAAATTAACTAACGAACGGAGGCGTAACAATATCATAGACTTATATTAAAACAATTCATTCAATGTTTCAAAGATGTTATCATATTTCTATTTGAAACTAAACTTTTTTGTCAAATTTTCTGAGTACATTTGTCTTTTACTTTCTAGATTAGCGTGGTTTGTTAAAAATGTATATTCTAGTATGAATTCTGATTACCAGAAGGTTTTAAATAAGGACAAATTGGACAGCAACACAACTTAACTCGCAAAGAAACTACTTCAAACAACAATAAAAAAGTAATCATGACCATGCCTTGAAAGTTGCAATAACTTTCTCATATTAGTCTGTTCGTTTGTTTGTTTCCTGTTAAGCACAAAGCTACACAATGTGCTATCTGTGCTGTACCCACCATGGATATCGAAACCCGGTTGTTAGCGTTATAAGCCTTCAGACTCACTTCAGCCTCTGGGTAGCTGGTGACTTTAGAGAGACTGCGTATGCACATTGAAATGACCTTACATAGAAATTTATTCTGCAATTTTACAATCATCTTATATACACTAGAATATAAATTACTAGTATGTTACATAAAATATAATATTGTTACGACAGCGGAAGTCACGTAACGCTAGTAACACATCATGAACTTCTAGAAAATTCATGTCCCTTCGTGAAGCCTCAAGTGTTTACTAGATGTGCGGTATTCTTGTATATAAGACCGCCAAGAAGTGACGGCAACAATGGTAATTGAATTGCAGACAGAGATAGAGACGGACAATTGAGTCAAGCGCGTGAGTCGTTCGTTGTGAATTATAGCGCTTGTTATAGCGTGACAGTGGAATTTAAGTGTATTGCAAAGTTGTATTGAGAAAGAATAAACTAGTTTTATTTAAGAAAGGACTTGTATCGCTAAAGTTTCTTCGGAAAGAAATTTTACGAAAAATTAACTAACGAACACAGAGCCGTAACAATATCATACTAAATAAATAAAGAAATGAAAGTGTCATAATTCCTCAAGGCCCTTTTACTATGACTACCGGTACCGTCATTCATATCTCAACATATTTCATATGTTTAAACATGGGAATGTTTCAGATTAGACTCTTTTATTCTCCGACTTCATATAATAAATATAGTCCTAAATATACTTTTCAGTATTTAACAGACAACATGGTTGTCTAATGTTTAAATATTTTCAGTCTAACACCTCAAACTAACGTGTTCACAAAATTCTGTTACTTTAGTAAAATTGTAGTTAAACAAATAAAATATATGTGAGTCATATTATTCACATTCCTTGTAGAACTACTTTTATCTTTAATATATACAGTAGCGTGCAGAGGACATTGAAAGGGCATGGGCTCGTTGACAAGATATGGCACATTTCAAGCATTGAAAAGCAAGACTTGGGGGGGGGGGAGGCTATGAGGAATGTGGGTTGCCTCTGGTACACATAAAGTAGAAGGCCATGAGAAGAAACAGGTTCTCTTTTATTCTAATTCAATCGGTCTTTATAAACACTTTTTAAAGTATAAAAATAAACAGCGAATTCTGGTATATTGACACTTAATAGTTAATCACAATTATTTATTTTACTTTATTCATTTTTAATGTAAAGACATACAAGTCTCTGTATGCCATTCATTTTAAAACTGAAATCTCTTTTATTTATATTTTTTCATAACATCTCGCAGCAAGCAAGGTGTGTAATCAAGTGTCGTTTAGTAGTTATGGGCAATTTTTATGACTGAGAAAAAGGACACTTTGGAGACATAAGATTAGAAAGGCAACGACTTGAGCCCACACAGACATCCCACGTCACTGTTTGTTTGAAGTTAAGCACAAAGCTACACAATGGGCTATCTGTGTTCTACCCACCACGGGTATCGAAACCCGGTTTTTAGGGTTGTAAGTCCGCAGACATACCGCTGTGCTACTGAGGGCTCCACCTCGCTACCTATATTGTATATGTTTGGAAAATGTGCATTCCTCATAATACGTATAATTAAGCCCCCAATGGCACAGCGGTATGTCTGCCGACTTACAACGCTAGAAACCGGGTTTCGATACCCGTGGTTGGCAGAGCA